ACAGACCATGGCTTGGTCATGGAAGAATGGGTAAAAACCACATATGCACAAGGAATACTACTTGGTCATAAAAAAGATGAAAGTCTGCTTTTAATACAATACGGATAGATCTTAAGGGGCTTATGCTAAGTGCAGTAAGGCAGAAGACAGAAAATACTGTATGATTTCACTCATAAATGAAATATAAAAAAACAAACTTTTAGACTGACAACAAAATGGTGATTACTAGAAGATAAAAGATAAGAGGGAAGGAGGGTAAAGATAAAAGATAAAGGGGGAGCAGGGAAAGAACAGGTAGGAAGGGCCAGTTGGTTGGTAGTGAATGGTGAATGGACATTTGGTGGTGGGCATGGTGGGAAAACTAATAGTGGAACCTACTAATTTACATCAACTTAGTAAAAAATACCCAAAAAATGTAGTTATCATTTATTTGAAATGATATCTAAGAAGTGAATTAGATTTGTCTAAAATAAGGGATGAGAGGCAAAGCAGCTCTCCTGCCGGCCTGTGACTAGGCAGGTGTTTTTCGTCACAAACCTTTTCCCTTTGTAAAACAGCAGTGGCAGCTCCCTGCCACTTGTGAGTGTCAGGTGCCTCTCTTCTTTTTCCTTTTCCTAATAAACCTGTCCCTTTAAAATGTAAACAAAAAAACTGAGGAGGATGATTATTAATGAAGAGAAATTACTAGGCTATTGATCTAATCCAGTGGGTTTAATGGATCTAATCCATTGTTTATGACAATGCCAGCATCTGACTACTTCTAACTCGCAAGGGAGCATTTTCATATGGTTTCCTACATCACTAAGCTATTCTCTTGGCCTGCATATAATAAATTTCTGTAACTATATTACAAATAAAAAAGAGCAAATACTGTAAGATTTCATCCACAGGTAGTACACAGAGAAAACAAACAGAGGAACTAAATAAAATGAGAATGAACTATTGTGAAACCAATTGGTGGTTGGGGAATGAGAAAGGGAACAGGTAAATTGAGACAATGGAAGTGGGGATACAGAAGGACAGATTTAGACTTTTAACCCTGGTGGCACAATGGGTTAAAGCGCAGCACTATGAATGAAGCTATCGGCAGCCACTGCAGCATGAGTTCAATCCTCAGACACGGAGCTGACCCACATAGAGCGGCAGACCTCTCCTGACCCGCCCACTGCTCCCCCCAGCAGTGTATTTCAGTCAGTCTGCCTGTTCTGTTTCCGACTCTGTCTCTGATGAAGTCTCTCACCCCCGCACCTTTGACCTGTACCCCAGTTCATGTGTGCATAATTAAATAAATCTCTTTTTAAGAAAAGTTAATTTCTTGTAGTATACACACGTGATTGTCAGTTATAATAAATACAGGGTTACTTCAATATAAAAAGTGTTCAAATGCCACTAGTTTTTACGGGTAACTCTAGATGGCAGTAAAAACACAAAATATGACAGTGAATTACAAATAGTAATGACCATACTTAGCTTTTACTCAATTTTAAATAGTACTAAAAAAAATGTTAAGAATACAAAAACTTATTAAAATTAGTTTCCTGACTTTGAACCCAAAAAGCTATTAAATCAATCAATTCATTCATGAATTATGACAACACTATCAATGTCAATTTTATAAATGCACCATATTTTCTAAGCTTTCATTGTTAAATTGAAATCAGGAAAATGATATTAAAATGGAGAGGGAAAAAAAACCTTTAAATTATCTTAATTTTTTTTCCATCAAGATATTAAGTATATACACAAAAATTTATTTTATGTATGTATATAAATTTAAGACATTATTTCATTCCAGTTAGTAAAATCTCTACATTTTTAAGGACTGTGAATTAATATATGAAAGCAGAGAGCATGCTGTTAATTTAATGTGTTTCTAGCACAAAAATTTTAGAAACTCAGTAAATACTAACCCTTTACCTAAACTCTAGGAAATAAAATAGGAGTAGAACAATTTAAGATTTTACATCCATTTTTGAAAAACACATTTGCAGGTCAGGAGGAAAATCTCATAAACAGAAACAAGGTAATTTGATCCAATGATGGTTTTGATAAACTTTCTATAACATACTGAATTAGAATTTCAGTATGATTTTACAAACTTTCATGGTAGTAAACCAAAAAACTGAAATTTTCTAACTTGCTTGTAAACTTTTCAAATTTTGGATTCATTACAAGACCACGTAGCATTTAGCTCAGGGTTCAGCAATACTAGACTAAAACTAGCTAACTTACTATATTTGGGGTTACTTATAACAGTTTCTCTGAGCTTGATTTTTTTCTGACACAAAAATTCTCAATTTGGAATACAAAGACAGGGTCCTCTCAAATAAAAGAAAGTGAATGATAAAAAAAGTAAATCTTCAAATATACTGGTGTGGTGGAAAGATGAGACTTATTTTAATGTCAACCTGTGCCAATGTAGTAACAACTTTTGATCAATAGTTTTAAAAAATCAGAAAATAGTCATAGTTTCTACAGCAAATTAATACAGATCTGGGTAGCCAAAACAAAGGAAAGAAAAGACAAAGTTGGAAGTTTCATACTTCCTGATTTCAAAATTTACTGCAAAGTTACAGTAATTTAAGTAGTGTGGTACCAACATAAATATACATGTATACTGCACTCCAAACTCATCAAGTTATATACATTAATTATGTTGTTTTTCAATGTCAGTCATACCTCAGTAAAGTGGTTTAAAAAAGAAACAGACCTACAGATCAAGAGGAACGAGAGCCCAGAAATAAGCCCTCACATACATGATTCAAGTGATTTTCAATATGGGTGCCAACATTCTTTGGAGAAAGGACAATGTTTTCAACAAAATACTATGGGGGAAATGGATATCCACAAGTGAAAGAATGATTTGAACCCTTTCCTTATATACTTTATATACAAAAATTAACTCAAAATATATTGAAGACCTAAAACTTTAAAACTCTTAGAAGAAAACAATGATTTCTTGGCTACAACACCAAAACACAGGCCAAAAAATATATATAGATAGATAAATTTGACTTTTGTGCATCAAAGGACAGTAGTTGTAGAGTGAAAAGGCAATCCAAACAGTGGAAGAAAATATTTGCAAATTACATATATACATACATATATATACATACATATATATACATATATACATACATATACATATATATGTGTGTGTATATATATATGTATATATATATGTATATATATATATCATCTATCCACACATCCCATCAAATACAAAAGAAAGTAGTAGTTAATTAACAGGAATATACAGAAAAATTCACCAGTCAGAAAGCTAGAAAGAGTGCAGCTAAGATCACAAAGAGGGCAGTACTGAACTTAGCCATCATTGCTGCCAAAATGTGGCTCGTGACACAGCTCTAATCTGCTTGGAAGTAGGGAAGGCTTTTAGGGTCTCTTAAGACTATTAAACTCTTAGAATACTCATTCTAAATTTACCAAGAAATCTTCTAATAATCAATTCAACACCAACTGTTACAGTCATTGGAAAAATATCTCCATATGGTAAATCAGCTATCAGGCATTCTGGTCAGTCCCTTGTCAATCTTGTTAGTTTTAGGTGTATACCAGTTTCAAAAACCCAGTTAAAACTGGATGTACCTGAGCTCTCCCTGGTGGTGCAGTGGGTTAAAGCACCACATTATGAAGTTCTCCAAAGCCATTGCAGCACGAGTTTGATCCCTGGTCAGGGAGCTGACCGACATGGCGCGGCAGACCTCTCCTGACTTGCCTGCTGCTCCCCTCAGCAATGTACTTTGTCAGTCTGCCTGTTCTGCTCCTTCTTACCATTCCTGCACCTATGGCCTGTACCCCAGTTCTGTAAGCATAAATAAAAAATCTTAAAAAAAAAAAACAAAAACTGGATGTACCAGAAAAGGTAAGTCCTTAGATGTGCAAAATAAAGGGCCACATTCGAAATCAAGAAGATACACTATAAGCCTGGTCAGCTGGCCATCCCATGTCTAAAGTACCTCAGTTTTATTTTTTCACTTTCACAGGTAATAAGTGAGCCTTGCAAACAGCTCTCCAAAACCCTATTCAACAACAACAAAAAAAATCAGAATACTTCTTTTATCCCCTCCTATTCAATGCTGTCAAACAACATTCTCCAAAATACATATTCCACATAGAGTATCTATCATAAACACAGGTTCCTATCAATATGATAAAGAATGAGAAAGAGCAAAGGAGAATGTATTTCTTTAGTCACTATTGGAAATGTACAAGTTTGTGACTAACATTTTTCTCATCAGCTCTAACTTCTGAAGCTTTAGCTATATGAATCACTGCTCTATGAACTCGCTAAATTCTGTTTTGATAAATTTCCAAAATTTCTTCTATGTTTTAAATAAATAAAAGTGAACAGTCACAATACTCCTGGCAACTATCACCACTAGCAACAAAAAAATTCTTGCAAAATCTTTGCATTTATAATTGGTTAGTTTTCAAATGTTTTTCAAGTGTTTTAGTAATCCATATTCAGGTATATGAAAAACTGAAAAGTAGGCAGGTAACTGATTTGTATTTTACATGTGAAATTATGGGTCTTCCTACACATTAAATTTTGGAGTTTTAAAGTTTCACAATCAATTGCACACCTGTCACAAATAAGATTTTTTATCAAAATGAGCCAAATTATCAAAGCATTTATTGGGATTTATTTGCTTTAGAAAGTACAGCTGATAGAACCTAGAAAAAAATCAAAGCAATAAAATCTACAGAATTCTACTGCAAACAGGGCTTATCTTTTGAGCACTGGACAGGCCAGCACAATGGCTGGAAAGTCATGTTCCTAATTCTGCCACTATGCCTGCTTCACTAACCCGGGCAATAACTGCATCAGTTCTCAAGTCTCCCCATTACCTAAACTGCTTTGCTTTCATGCCAGTAAATGCATATTGTGAAACTGCTAGCTACTGACGGCATCAATGTTTTAGAGTAGCAGAGGTGTCTGATGTGAAAACTATTTAAAATAGGCTAAAATTGTCACTTACCTCCACTGCCACTACAATCAAAATGAGATCTGTTTTTGACTCAGGAAAGAGTGAATTCACTTGTGGTGACATTCCAATGAGAGCACAGTTAGTGACCACAGATATAACACTCATTGTTTCAAAAGCCAGCTGAAAGAGAAAGGAGGTGAAATTAAAATGCAGTGGCCACTTCCACTTTTCTTATCTTTGTTCATATTATCTCAAATCAAGGAAAAAAGTCTTCCCCTAGTTCTAAACATTCCAAGTACATTTCCAACCTTTTATTTATAATGCTATCATTTTCTTTAGCTGAAAAAACCATACTTTTAGAAGAAGGTATTTTCTCAAATAATTACCTGCCACACACCAATATTGGCTGATGGTTCTGAGAATGGACGTTTGAAGACCCGGCACATTTTTAAGGCATCGGAATTAACCTCGGTGAAGTTATTTAACACAGCAAAGGCCGCTGCCAACGGGTAAACACAGGAGAAAAGGCTCACATAACCAAACTGAAGAAATAACTCCAAGTAATCATCGAAGGTGCCCTAAAATTGTAAACCACAAGAAGAAAACAAGCATTGTTTTAATATCAGATAATAACACTTTGCATGACTATCCAATGCACTGGCGTCTAAATAAAGCCAACCTCAAAAAGGTTGTAATTTGGACCCTCCCTGGGGGCGCAGGGGTTGAAGCACAGCACTAAGAAGCTAAAGCCACTTCAGCATGAGTTCGATCCCCACCCCAGAGGTGACCCACATGGCTGGCAGACCTCTCCTGACCTACCCAACTGCTCCCCTCAGCAGTGTGCTTCATCAGTCGGCCTGTCCTGCTCCCCACTCTGTCTCTGGTGAATCCTCTCATTGTCCCTGAACCTCTGGCCTGTACCTCAGTTCTGACTGCATAAATAAATAAAATGTTTAAAAAAAAAAAAAAGGTTGTAATTTTCAGATATTAAGAATGAAAAAGTGATTTAGATGCCCACCTTATTGCTTAAAATCTTTGAATTACTACCTTTTCCTAAGGTAAACAGTAGCAAAGCTAAAGATGTTAGCTCTTGATCAAGTAAAAAGAGGTGCTTTGGCATCACAGAAATCTTAAATGACTGCTACCTTATATCATCAGTACCCCAAAATGTTAGCCCCTAACTCTCCATAAAAAAAAACTGATAGTGATAAGCCAGCAAAAACAGCAAAGGAAGGACATCTGGTATCCTCAGGCCTCCTCATAATTATCCAGTACACATACAATAATTTCGGTTTAATTAAAAAAATACTCATATACTTGGAAGCAACACAAAATATTAGTATTTTAAAATTAATAATTATAATTACTGCCTCTTCAAACTCAGCCTTTACCAAATATGCACATAGTACTAAGTAGCCGAGAGTTTTACTACATCAGACTCTTTCAGTTTCTTTTCTTTTTTTATATTTTGCTAAGATAGAAATGCCCACACAAAATTACAGAGTATTGAGAATGGCAGGAGGTGCCGATTTCAAACACTCTGGCTATTTAGTCGAGGCATGAACCAGGGGTCAGTGCCTCTCACTGGCTATTTCCAATGCTCGCCAAAGAGGCCAGACATGTGTGCCTTGGGAGCTGGCAGGCCGACGCCTTGACGCGCTGCTGGGAATTCAGCGGTGAGAGGTTTCTAAACCACTCTTTGGCTGCATTTGGCCCTGGGAAGTACTTCTTTTGGTAGTATTGCAGCATACAGATGTAGTTTTAAAATATGCCCAGAGATATAGCATCATTTTATTTCTCTGAAGAGTGAAGCAAGCAAGAGTTGGGAAAGAGTAAAAATCTCAGCAATCATTCCATTTTTACTACAATTTGGTCTTAAGAAATCCCGATAGCCTACACTCAGTTTTCAAGATTGTGCCATTTCAACTCATAAAATAAAAGTCGAAGCCTATGCAGACAGGCCGACGCTGCCCTCAGATGCGCCTTGGCAGGCATGCAAGTGTCTTTTTGGCACTGTCAGGGCACCACACTCAGGGACCCCTTCCCCACACGCAGCGCTCTGGGCCTCCACCTCACGGGGTGATTCTGGATGATGGCATTTACACATTAACACTTTACCAGGACTTTCTGAGTAATCCAATAGCAAAAAGGAAGAAAAAAATGCAAATTTAACAAAGCAAACAGTCACACCCTCCTACAATAAGTATATATTAATAAGGACACACTCTGCCCTGTTAGCTGCAAGACCCTATTAGTGAGGACAATTCTAAGAACCTATATACTAACTTTAATAACAAGAGGTTATTAAAAATACTATGGCATTTCTATAAAAATCATTATTTTACATATAGACAGGTGAATGCATGAAAACAAGGTTCCAGAGTGCAGGAACCCATTAAGTCCCCTCAAATATTGGAAATAATAAGAAAATTCAGTCAAGTTGGGGTTAAAGTCAACAGCATTCTTATAGACCAGTAACAATTAGAAAGTACTTATAAAGCTCTACCATTTCTAAAGAACAGGTAGTCTCAAAGTATCTACCCACAAAAAACTTACTCATTACAAAGTGAAAAAGAACCTTTGCAATTTGCCTGTCACCAGATCAATCAAATAATCCAACAAGGCAGTCTTACACAAGGAACACCTTGACATCAATGTCGCTTAATGGGGTAGCAAAGAAAGTACACCCCCAGAATCGCTAAACTTGAATCCTATGAAGAAACAGTGAGGCAAACAGACTCCACAAATGTCAATGCCTTGAAAAAACCAAAAGGCAGGGGATTTTCTAGATTTGTGGTTTTCACTGTTGGTCTCCAAAAGCTAACCTCTTATAAACTATCAAGGACACCAAAGACCTTCCATTTATGGGAGTTCTACCAAGTGATTATTACTGACTTTAAAAAGTATTCCTCATTGATCCACTTAAATAAGAAAACATATTAACATAGATTAGCATGCTGTCTGGAAAAAAAGATCACCTTTCCCAAACCAAAACCGTCAGAGCAGAGGATGGCCCTCCCTCACGTGGTGGGCAAACTTCCTCAAGGCTCCCTACGAGCAGGCAGCGCCTCTGCTGTGCGGCCCACGCTGTACCAGCTCTCTCCCCTCAGAGGTCAGCCACGTACAGCTCTGCAGCTGGCCGTGAGCTGGCCGTGGGCAGGCAGGACGCAGTGAAGGGGGGGCACTGTGGCACCAAGACAACTTCGCCCTGCACCTGGTCAGCAGGGTTGCAAGACTCCGTGGATGAGCCCTGTGGGGACACCACCAAGGGCTTCTTCTTCCTGATTGACTCTGTCCTACATTTTCTAAGTTTTCTACAGTGAGTGATGAAGTATTTTATAATAATATTTTCCAAGTTTCTGTCAAACTGCTTTCCCCCCAAAGCTTTGCAACATATTTTAGCTTCATATATAGCAGTAAGGATGAGATTACAGAGAAGTCAAGTTTAAGTTCATTCACTTCAGGGAGGGCAAAACCACACAGGGAGATCAGAGCATAGAAAACAATGGCCTAGAACAAACACAACCTGAAAGCCTCTCCCCTCTCCAAGTCCACGGAGAGGCGTGAAACGGCAAACACCCATGAGGCTGCTGTGAAGAGAAGAAAGAAGGCCCTCAGGGCAGAGGGAAAAGCTGGTCGAGGCAGACACGGCTGCCCAGCTGCACTGCGGCACACTCACTGCAGGCCAACGAGCCCCCTCCGAGGAACAGGAGACTGGACGTGTGACAGCAAAATCTTCAAGCTAGTCCTGATTTAGTCACCAAGTAATAACAGAGCTTCAGTTACCAATTTTCATTGGGAAAAGCAACACCTACGTTATCTTCCTTAAGGTATTTTCAGATGCCAAGAGATGCCAGGAAAGGTTAGATTTAGATTTGGACAGTGTAACCTTATTGGCACATAGTTCTTAGTGTAATTAAAGGTGCTGAGATGAAGGACTGCTGTCTCAATTATTGTGTGCTATTCACTGAGTCACGGGAAAAGGAAGAGCAACTGGTCTGCTAGTTTAGTTTCTCTAAGAGAAGTGAAGAAAGAAAAATAAAACATGGCCAGAAATACGTCTCCCCATATCAAGCAAGGAAAAGCTACTGACACCACGCAAACTAGACAGCTTGTGACGGGCAGAAGCGAGCACGCAGCCAGTTCAGACAGGCTCCACATTGAGCCCATGCTCCCTGAACTCCCCCCGCTGCCAGTGTGTGCTTCTTTTCCTAACACTTTATACATAAACATAAAGAGTGTTGCTGGTCAAGATGGGCTGTAAGTTTATAATTTGAATCATCTTCTCTTCCAAGAACAGCAATGGCAGAAAATGCGAATGCAAGTACGTATAATTTAATCAAAAGATGACATCACTACTCAGAAAGAAGAAAACAGTGGCAGAGGTGAGACATGGCGCTCAGTGTAAGATGCATCACAAGCAGGAAGCTGAGCAGACTGCCAAGTCCACAGGCCCGCAGGGACGGCGGTGACCTGCACACCCCGGGGGCAGGGGATGGAGGCGCCCACTTCCATGGAGCATAGCCGGAACCAGACAGTTTGCGCACAGCCAGCGGCCAGCACAGTGTGCTCTGCTCGTGAAGGGAGGTTAAAAAGCCATGGCTGCTGCGGGCACTGGCCTGCTGCCACTGTGACTGGCGCTGCAAAATCCAGCATCACTGTGAGGTGGAATCCTGGGCTACAAACACCTGCTCTAGACGGGGACTTGGAAGCCCAGGGCAGGGCAAGTGAGGCCTGGGATCAGGAACACTGCAAAAACCAAGCAGGGGAAGTGAACAGAGAGAGAATAAAACTCTACTCAAGATGAACACAAGCTAAAGCTTTTAAGCATAGGAGAAAAACTAGGAAAATCAATCAGCCAAGAAACTCAGTAGTCAACAGATGAAATCATTCAAGGAGAAAACAAGACTGTCAGGGACTCTCACTGAATGAACCACTGAAGGAAAACCCCAAGGGAAATGCAGGACATAAGAAACTGTGACCCAACTGTGGCCCGAGCTCCTCTGCACCAAAACACAGAATAGTGACTGTAGACAGAGCTCAACTAAAGTTTGCTGAACACATGGGCAGCTGTATGCACTAGATTTTTGAAATATTATAAGTAGCCAGACTATGCTTCCTAAAACCTTAAGAGAATTATTTTTATTTACAGTAACACTAGGTAATTTAAACTAAAAATTAATATTCAGATTGGCAATCATTTTAGTGATAGGCTTTGCTGAATTTGAAGGGCCTAGAGAGAGTGCCGGTGCTGTCTCTGCAGAACATCTCATCTCCCTTCCCTGCTCTGAAGTGTTTGGAACAAAGATCTCCACCCCCTCCCCCACTTTAGCACATGAGTCACACAGGTGGCTATGGGGCAAAATCGCAGATTCACAACAACAGTACTAATGCACAACTGCACCTTTCTAACATTAAAGTAATTCATAGTGAGGAGACTGGAAAGTACAAATAAAGGTCACATCTGACACAAGGAGTCTGTGTATTATGCTTTTTAACTCAGTACATGACTGTTACTTACTTTCAGCTGAAGTTTAACTCAGCAATATTCAAACTTACCAAATAGGTTCCCATTTCTTTTTCCAGAACGACTTGTTCATATACTGTAGCATCGATGTCTGCCTTCAAAGCCTGCATCTTCCTCTTCACCTGCATGTAGTGCTTCTTTTGGAGCCAATAAGGAAGAAGAGATTCTACAATCTGGTTCAGGATCTGGGAGGTAATCAGGAGAGTGGCCAGGCTCTAAAGAGGAGTACATAAGTGATATGTGGTGATGAGCTTAACAAGACCACAACCCGTGTATAAATACACATTATTGACTGAAGATAAGGTGTCTTCACCAAGATTCCATACCATTATGTTATAAAAGCTAGGCATTAGACTGATGTTTCTGATTTACTGTTTTCCTCCCCATAGGAAAGATGGAAAATAAAATACAAAAAGATTATCATGAGAAAATAAGCCAATTATGAACTGGAAGGAAAACTATTTAAACTGAAACTGTTTATTGTCATCCCATCCTGGCTATAGCTTATGAATCTAAAAGAGGTTGCCAACTCTGAAAAAAAAAAAAAACAATAAAAGATTGGGCCACAACTTAAAATTTACATATATAAAACTCACTCACAGTGGCACTATTACAACATCTTAGGATCTTTCTTTCTGAACATGTGAAAATAAAATTAGAATTACCTATGTTTATACAGCCTTTATATGTTTCTTTCCTCACTTAATATCTGATGAGCACTTTCCTATTTCATTAAAAACTCTTTAACAAGCTTGCGCACAGTTGTTGAATTTCTAACAATGACTATTATAACTGCTGCTCCTTGGATACTGATAAACATGAATCCTGGCCCTATCTCTGATGATTTACTAGGATAGGTGAAGGTTCTTGGCAAAACTGCATGAATAGTGTCCAGGGACGGGTTGTATCAATTTCCATGTTCCCTGGATGGTTATCAGAGTTTCTATCCCATACCACCTTTGCTGGTATTAAAATTCTATTTATTAAAGAGAGCCTTCCCCAATCTCCCTGCCTCTTGTGAAGTAAAAGAGACTTTCCAAGTTTAAGAAGTGAGATGTTCTAATCCATCAATAAATTTCAAATGTATTATTTTGGACTTTCTCAATTTTCAAAAATTGGCAATATTTCTATCATAATTCTTAACAAGTACAACATTTAATTTTATTTTTATGCAAGCTGGTAGAACAATAATTATAAAATCTGGTCGCTTTCTCTGGCTGTTCCAAAGTTTTAATTTCCTTAAAAATGACTTCGCATGGAAGTATTAATAAGCCTAGATTTTTTCTAATTTTTTTTTTTTACTAACAATCACAGTCTATAAGGATAGGAGCAATCCCTAAGTTAGTTGTATTTAAGCATAAAAGAAAAGTGAGAAAGAAATGATTTCTACTCTATTTATTATTCACTGTTACTAAACAGCAACAAACTACATACAACAAATGTAGACGTTCTTAAACATTTCAGAAAAGATACAGCATTGCACAGAATCTGCTGGCTTCTCTAGCTAACAACTTGCTAATTGAAAAAAGTGAAATATGTAAGCCCTATTTAGGTGATTGTACCAATCACCTCCACCCTGAAACACACAAAAATATAACTAATGAATTCCTTTTTTTGCATTGATTTGACAAGTTTTAAGAAAAACCATATTTGATTCAACTGCCCCATATGATTTTCTTTTTTGTACTGTGTGATTAATCTTACAAATTGGTGAGCTTCAACTATCTCCTTTTCAATTGAATATGATACACAAGGTTATTGCTAAATTTTTTTAAATATAAAATTGGGCTTATAAATACAGAAAAAAACTTGCAAAGGGGCCTCCCTGGCAGCTCAGGGGCTAACGTCTCAGCACTGAAGCTATCTGCAACCACTGCGGCATTAGTTCAATACCTGGCCAGGTAGGTGACCCACACAGCACAACAGATCTCTCCTGTCTCGCCCACTGCTCCCCTCAGCAGTGTATTTCAGTAGATCTACCTGTCCTGTTCCCCACTCCTCTAGTGAATCCTCTCACCTTCTCCTCTAGTCTACACCCCAGTTTCTGTATGCATAAATAAATAAAAGTAAATCTTAAAAAAACTCCAAAGATTTTATTTGTAAAAGTAATAATGTGATATTATTACATTATCTGAAAACAGGACCCCTCCGCCCCCAAGACCCATCCATTTGCCACCTTTCTATTTTTCATACTCACCTGCCGCAAGAGCTTCATGTCCTTCAGGACGAAGGCAATGTAGAAGAGTGAGGCAAAGCAATTCAGAAAGTTGAACTGTCAAAAAAAGAAAGCAATATTGAAAGCTGCTTTATAGGGCTCTGCAACTGTAAACACAGCCTTAACTAGTGCAGAGACCGCAAGGCCAGGTTTCTCCCTACTTCTCACTAAACACATCTGTAAACCTTGGAAAGAAAACAAGAGGCAAACCAAGGAGAACTGGGGTGGCACTGCGAGGAACACAGACTGGTTCCAGCCCCAGGGCTGAGGGAACAGTCAGCACCAGCACATCTTATGTTCCTATAACATTCTTACAACAGAAGGTGGCTAACGTCCAGAATCTCACACCCCCTAACCGAGCAACCCCAGTGGTCCAGATAGGCTTGCCCCCCCCCACCTCACTTCATTCCCACCCTGCTCATTAGAGTCCTGACAGCAACAGAACTGGAAAGGAGGATTGACAGTGACCCCCCACCCCACTCCAACCTACCCCACACCAAGGACAAGCTGCCTAAGTGTTCTTTTCCTGCCATGCCTGATACTCCCCATCCCATGAGATCTGTCAGTGGCCATGAGAAGAACCGCACCACAAGCAGCTCAGTGCAGGGGGCTTCTTTTGTGCCCACATACCCGAGACTCCCCACCCTTACAGAGAGACACCAGCCATAACAACTGGCCAGTCCTGGCAAGCATCTTTGTCACCAGGGGTCTGAGACTGCCCTGAATGCCCATGGGTGGGTGGGGGGGAGTACGTGGACGCGGTGGAGGCAGCAACCAGGAAAGATTGCACTACAGGTACCATTTCTTCAAATTACTCCCCTTTTCAAGAACCTGAAACTACCTCCTACACTAACGGTATCCTCTCTGCCTCCCAGCCCCACACTGTCTACTAGCTGTTCTGTAGCTCAGGCCCTGAAACAAAGGCCACTATGTGTACAAATGTATATACGTAATTAGCAGGGAATGGGGAGTGAGCAGTAGGATACAGAGCCACAGCTTAGTGGTCAGGTTGCTAAGTTAGGGTAGAAATTGAAAGCCAAAGCTGGGAAAGGAGAGAAATGCTCTCCCCATAAGATTAAAAAATGAGCTCCCTAAGAAACACAATGAAAGACAAGCAGATTTTCATTCATTAGCTTTTATAATGCAGTCACCTGACATTGAATCTGACATTGTCAGAAAATAATGAAATCTCACAAACAACTGAATTCTTTGAAGACATATGGAGTGTTTTACCTCTATAGGCAAAAGCTTCCTATTATGATCTTTTTTGAAAAATAACTTTTTTTTTTAAAGATTTATATATTTTATTCATACAGAACTGGGGTACAGGCCAGAGATGCGGAGGGTGAGAGGCTTCACCAGAGACAGAGTGGGGAGCAGAACAGGCAGATCCATGAAGTACACTGCTGAGGGGAGCAGCGGGCGGGTCAGGAGAGGTCTGCCACACCATATGGTCACCTCCCGGGCAGGCGGAAATCGAGCTCATGCGGAAGTGGCTTTAGCTTCTTAGTGGTGTGCTCTAACCGGCTGCGCCACCAGGGAGGGCCCGAAAAATAACTTTTTAATGTAGTATATGTCCCTGTTTCCTTCACAAAGAACACTGGGCCTAACTTCCTTGCTGATTCAGCACTAACATTTTGAATATCAATTATTTTACAATGTTTGAATGAAGCCTTCAGACTCGTCTCAGATATAGATGGCCTCTTACCCCTTACCACCCCTTTTCAAATGTCCAAATTACCACAACTATTCAATTCTTTTATCTACTTGTAACAGATTTCTCATTTCTTTACTACTCTTGCCACTATAAATTTTCCTACTTCCAGAAACCTAAACACCTTCTTAGTGATGGTTTCTGTTCTTTGAAGCCTGAGAAAAACAAATAAATAAGCTTCTTAGAATGATTTCTACAACTGGAACACTCTAAGCAAGGGCCTGGATGCCATTCCCAGGACGAGAGTCCTCAGGCAGTGTTAAATCAATTCCAGTTGAAAGTTCAGAGGACTCTATTCACCTGCCTTGCTTCTCAGTTCTCTTACAGAGACTGAGGTAATTTCCTCGTAAATGAGGTGCTCTCAATCTGGTACTTCCTTACTATGGTTATAGTGAAAAGGAACAATGTGTGAGCTTTTACACAAACAGCAAACAGTTTATCTAGTGACTTCTCCCTCTCTCTTTCCTCCTACCTACCCATCAGAACTTGCTGGAAACCTACTACACTTCAGAAATTTCTCTGAACAGACTGTGGGTAACTGGAAGAATTATTGAATAGTGAAATATCCTAAAGAAGTCATCCCAAGTGTCTCTCAGAAAAGATATATCTATAACATGGTTAGTTTTTTGAATACCTGGAAATAGGCTATAACCCTAGTGTCTGTATTTGAAGACTTTATACCACATGCCATTAGTAATAAGACTACTGAAAATATATGTAAATCTACTGATTAGTTAATCCTGACCTACTTGCACAAAATATAGTCACTAATTATCTTAAGTGAGAAGCAAGTTTTCATATTTATATTCCTAAATATTAAACGCTATTTATTTTTTTATAATTAAAATGGCTTTATATGTAAAAATTCTACTTACCACTAAAACTTTCAGAATTAGATGATTCTGGTAGGCAGATTCCAGTCTGTGGTTCTCTAAAATATCAACAGGGAGAGGTCATTTCTCTCAGGTAAGAAAGACACATGGGAGCACTCTGGCAAAGGAACGTGACAGCGGGACAGAGGGCAGAGCAGGAATGGACCTCTGTCAGCCAACGTTCTAGACTATCCGACATGGCTCCTGCTTACCACCATGGTAGTCGGGCAGAAAGAAACTAAGTTTAAGACACATTTTTCATGGTACTGCAATAGCATAATAGACTGAGGTTATTTTTTAAATATTGCTGCTACAAAGAGATTTGGTATATACTGCCAAATGATCACACAAATAGTCACCCAGAAAAAGACCTTGGCAAGTGATAATAGAAAAAACTGGCATTAGGAAAAACCAGACAGCCACCTCCAAAGTGTAGGGCAATAAGGTTTTCAGTATATTCGGCTCACAAGAATTAACTTACAGGGAAATTCAAACTTCTATCCTCATCAAATAAAAGGAAACACGTATAAGGTCATGAGACAGCAGGATAAAAGGACTAACGGGAAGATACTGAAGAGAAGTGTCATCTTGTACTGTCAGGGCTAGCTGGCCCAGCGGGCATGAACTCCAGGGTAGCCACTCAGTCTTTCTCTAACCTTGGGGAGACTCCCTGACTCCTCACACCCAGAATCCTCACCTGCAAGGCTGACAGCAACCTCCCTCTCCTCCTGGGGTCACTAACAGGATTAGAAATCAAACAAAGCCTTAGCCCAGTGTCAGCACCAGGAAAAGCACTCAATAAACGGCAGCTGTGGATGTTATATGACTAATAAAAATAATTTAAAGCATTATTATTATCCTCAAAGTTAAGGCCTAGATTTTTATCTAGGGAAGAGTAACATATTCATGTGCATGAATAAATATATTGGGGAATAAATGGTCTATCAAAACCAGCTTTGAGTGGTAAGTTCCTCTTTTACTGCAGACTCATACAAATACCCACCCGCTCTGAATCCAGCAGCTATGCTCAGAGCCCCTGCACAACTAGACAATGGGTGTTCAGGTACTAGACTTATCTAGTAGAGCATCACAAAAATAATCTAATCTACTTTACCCTCAGCATAAAACACAGTTATCATCACCTTTAGACAGAGTAAGGCCTGGATTAGCCAGACTGTACAATTTGCTATCTGAACTTAGTTAAGTCTCAGTATCTTTATGCATGCAATGGTCAAATAACTTCAATTTCATGTGTCCTAGGTGGTGAAAACAACAAACTGTAGTTTAGTGGTCAGCGGGATAGCTAGGACACAGTGACTGCTCTCTGCTAGCAAGAGCTCCCATAACCGTGATGAAAACATGGGGCTTAGGAAGCCTGTGAACTCTTCCTCAAGTCTCTGTAACGAGCCAGAGCAACACTGGCCTTCTGTGTAAGGTAGCAGTTATAATAATCCTATGACCTGAGCAACATTTCTTAGAGGCAAATGAGAACACATACAGAGACTCAGCCTTACCCCACGAAGTTAGAAACTCAGCAGCGTATCGGTACAGCCGGTTCATGATCTCAATCACAATGGCATAGATGATGCTGGGCACGTACAAGATGATACTTGTCCACTCAGACCCGCTCTCCTCATGCAGACCCATGGCCCACTCCTCCATGTCGAAGTAAATCATCATGACATACAGAGAGAAATAGAGACAGAGGCACACAAATGGCAGAGAGACCAGGTAGATGCGTAACTGTCTCTTGTAGCTGGGGTAGAGCGGTTCCTCCCTGCCAGTGACCAGGTTGATACCCAGAACACCATGATATCCTGGCCGCGGCTCCTCAAACTGTCTCTTCATGACCAGTGTCCCCCATCTGTAGGTCATGTTGGCACAGCCACGCTTCCACACCTCCAGGATCACTGTGGACCAGACCAGGTTGAACGAGGCGAAGATCACGTACTTGTCATAGTCTTCCCACACAAACAAGTAGTAAGGCAGCCCAATGACTGCCATGGGGATTAAGGCAAAAGTGAAATATTCCAGAAATCCAAAGTAAAGAGCAATTGTTTCACCAAAGTAACCACGAATACGGTCTACAATAGAAAGAGGAGAAAACATTATGTACAAACTATAGAAGACATTCCATTTGTTTCTATAATTTCAAGTAGAAATTCTAAGCTAAGTGGGGATCACTTAATACCCTCAGTTCTCAGTCAGTGTGCGAAGGCATGTCTGTCCTCCATGCTGTACAAAGGCCCCAATGCTCTGCATGTAAGACTGACACTTGTCCCAGCTGAAGGCCCAGCCTTGGCTACTGGGGCTCCTTTACTTCTTCACCTGGGGATGCCCTCTTCCCAAGGGAAAACTCACCTACGAGCCTGTCCCAAATCTCCAAGGTCCTATTTTAAATTCAACCCAGGCCAATCAACCATTTTAATTTGGGATTTAATTCATGCTCTCCATTTTTCTCCCACTCTAATGTTATAATTATAAATGTCCTTTTCACAGAAGGCTCCCATCCATGTTATCCTGCTCCTCCTACCCAAAGGTATAAATTTTCATCAATGAGTTAAGCAAGGCATATTTCTCAATATATCAAAAAAAAATACTCAAAAGTATGAAACAATATTCAATACACTTGGGTCTAGAACAGTCATGGATTACATGTGTCTCTTGCTTTATTTATTTGTCTATATCTGCTGTATTTGTTTCATGTAAGCAAAGGACCCATAACACCAGTCAATATCCTTATGAGCTTTACACGAGGCAACTAACCAAAGAGCCCACTAGAGCTACACCATGTGCCAGCTGTACCATGCACGGCGAGGGCCTGGACTGGCAGCACTTCTGCACTGGCACCCGGTGGACCCAGCTGGGGGAAAGGCAGCAGTTGGAGCTATTTCCTGTTAATTATATATACTTAAAATATTTTCTTTTTTAAGATAATGTGTCAGGTCAGGTGGCACAACAAGTTAGGTCGCAGCACTGCAAGCTGGCCGCAGCCGCTTCAGTGCGAGTTTGCCGCAGCCGCTTGAGTGCGAGTTCAGTCCTCAGCCCCAGAGCTGACCCACAGGGCGCCGCAGACCTCTCCTGACCAGCCCGCTGCTCCCTTCATCAATCTGCCTGTTCTGCTCCTCACTCTGTCTCTGGTGAAGCCTCTTACCGCCCCTGCATCTCTAGTCTGTACCCCAGGTCTGTATGCATAAATAAATAAATCTTTTAAAAAATAATAATAAGATAATGTGTCAGGTCAATCTGTGGAGGTGGGCTAGAGTAAATTGGGATAAGCTATTTTCTCCCTACCTTAATTTTTAGAAGCAAATTAAAACAGTAGCTGTCATTCTGTTATTCCAAGTCAGAGCTGGAGAGCTGGGAGGAGCTTCAGTTTTGCCCTACCACAGCTACTACCTCCTGGAAAGGCACTCCCAGAGGCCTCAAACCACCATCACAAGAACAGCCAGTCTCCATCCTCAGCTCCTTTTCTGCTCTTACTTTCCAAACAATGCTTATTGATAATATCTCTCACAAGTCCTAGAGGCAATATTTAAATTTAGTGCTGCCTAAAAACAAAGTAAAAGATTAAGGAACTAATAAAACAAAAAATTTCCTTTCAGAGAATACAAGAAAATTTTCAAAAAGCCATTAAAAATTTTGACCTTAAAAATAATTGTTGTTCACTATGGTGATGGCACATGGGTGACTTGGTGATGGGAAACCCACGGGGATTACAATTGAGATGAAAAAAAAAAATGTACAAAATGATGTAAAAATAAACTATTATATATAAAAAAAATTGTTGTTCAATGTTAAATACTCTAACAGTTGTTCTCAGAAGTGGAAATTTAAAAAGAAATCATGTTAGAGGGAATCCTTTAAACAAACTTAAAAAAGAAATGCTGTTTAAAGAAAAACTGACAACAATGTTTATGGTGAAATCAACCTGCATAATTCTTAGGCTTCTAAAACATAACAAATCCAAAAAATTTGAATATCCATACTTAACGAAAGTTTACACAAAGTAATGTTTAACATATACCAAGTAAATTAATGGCTATTCTTATAGCTGGATAGAGAAAATAAACAGCTCTAGAAATTTATATTAAGCTATTTATAAGCCATCTTAAGATACTAGAGTCTGCTAGTCTCTAAGATCGTGCACAGCTTGTCCACTGCAAGTGAGTAGCTCTAAAGAGAAAGATATTTTCAAAAACAAAATATTCACAAACTGAATTCTTATAAAATGTATTCTACTCCAGCTCTGACAAGAATTCACGAAGGTCACTCTGAACTGCCTGTGTTGGTGAACTTTAGTGAACATCTGTAATTCAGACCACCTAAAATGGTACTAGAAATAAAGGAATGAACAAATGAATGAGTGAACAAATAAATGAATGGGTCATAGAAGCCCCTTTTTTTCCTTTTCCCACATGCAGCTGGGGACGCTCCCTAGCAAAGGACAGAGTATCTACCTCAGGTGGGTTATACTGCTGTGACCGCGACTTTTCATTAGTAAGCCCTCCTCTCCTCTAAAAGAACAGGTATTGACACACACCTATGGGCTGATACTTTAAAGGAAAACGAGTGTACCAGGTGTCCTCAAGCTTCTTGAGGTCTTCATTATCATGCAGTGGAAACACCTGAACCACGATGCCAGACGTGAGCAGTCTTCTCACTGCAGAGGGAAAATAGGCCAAGCCTCATTAGACAGATCTGAGTTTGTTCATGGCATGCTTCATCAAATGTGGTGAAGACACTTCAGAAAGAGGAGCATGACTCAAGGGTCACTGTTAGGCAGCCTACTCCAAAGACACACATTCTTTGGTTCTTTAGAATGTAAATATCTTTACTATTTTCTGTGATTATGAAAGCAATACAAGTCAATGTAAAATCCTAAGCCACACAGAAGTATACAAATTGGATTTGAAAGGTCCCAGCTATTCTCTGTAAAATACTGTAAACAGCAGTTTAGTTTATAGCCAGACTTAAAAATACACATCCATAAATATATATTTTAAAAACAAAAATGGGATCATTTTATACTCACTGTTCTGGAATATTCTCACATAGTCATATATTTTCAATGTTACTATAAGTAGAACATGTTATGTCCTTTTTAGCATTGTCATGATATTCCCTTGTATGAAGTGCTATAATATCTCCCTCATATGAAATGCTATAATTCATTTCTCTTTTGAAGAATGCATTTCCCTTTTTTTACCATTACAAATGTTATTTTTATGTTAATTCTTATACATGTACCTTTCCCCACTTGTCTACTAGTTCCTTATTATATACACTTAGAAGAAGAATTGCTAGGTCCAAAACATACATATTTTAAATTTAGATGCAATTTACAAAGCTGCCTTTAGAAAAATTTTACCAATCTGTCCTCCCACTACAGTGAAGGTAAGAAAATGTTCAGTTCTTTTTATTCTTGTTGATATAAGTATATTGAGTCATTTTCATCTGCTCTAAACTGTTAGCAAGGCTTACACATTCACAAACAGAAAATATCAAAGACTTTCTAATTTGTCTAGTATGATTTGAACACTCTTGTGTGTATCTGAAGAGATAAACCAAATCACAGACAAGCTCCCTTGGTAATAACAAATAAAAATCGGACACGCTCTCATCAATAATTATTTAGTGACTCACCGGGTTGGTGGGTCTTCAGGTCTCTAGGACCCAGGATGTGGAGAAATGAAATGCAATGCCAGGTATCACAAACAGAGAGAGAGAGCACTTTCCCAGGACTATCTGTTGTAAAGACTATGGCAGCTTAAAAGATGGAATCTGCATCGATAATAGATGCTTTGCTGTTTTCATACACTGATAAGCTTTGAGTACTTTAGGGTTTACCAGCTTCTCGTTGGAGGGCTGTTTCCCTTACTATCCACCTTGTCACTACACAGGTGATGAACTATCTAGAACAGGCCCCTTAATGAGGACCAGCAAATAAACACCTGAAGCAGGGACAGGAAACATGACCTGAGTCCTCAGCATAGAAGTACACCTAACAGGAGAGGAGAGACAACGTGTCCTCCGGATGGAAGCCATATCATATGATCTTCTGGGCAATTCAATCTACTACCTTAGAAAAGGAAGATTTATAAAGAGGAAATAGCCAATACTAACAATAATAAAGCTTCTGTCTCTGGAAGGAAAGATTTGTAATTGATGATTCTTCTTATGAGATACACCTTGTTTACCAGTTACACACAGAAAAACTAGTTTTTTAAAAGCTCCTTCATGATTTTAAAAAAGCATCTACCCAAATGTCAGTGAATAGGGTAAAAGACAGGTGGTTTAAGTTACTCAGCCTCTGTGCTGAGTATTCTAAAGTGTTTCAGCAAATTTTTTTCAGTTAATGAGTTGGTCACCCACAAAAGTTCTGGTTCTTATCTCTTATTTGGGAATGAAGAGGTATAGCTTACTCTTTCTTGTGTTTGTCAGTTACTGTATCAATTTTTTTTAACTTTAAAGTGACTAAATTACTTCACTGTTTCTCAGTTCTTTAAAAAAAAAAAAAAGTGATTCCATTCCATTCCACCATCGAAGACTTTCCAGAAAGACATAAAAACCAGCTTGTCTACTTCAAAAACAGGTCTGGGAACTGAGAGCTCAGAGAGAATGTAAAGCCACAGGTCATAAATGACTGGGTCTCACTTCATCTTCAGTACCACAGTACAGCTCTGGTTTCAGCTTCTAAAAATAGAAGACTTTTATTTCAAATCCTTCAACCTTCTCAAGTCAGTTAAGAAGGTAATTAACATGTGCCTTAGCTTCTATGGAAAATGTGAGGATGTACAGACCTATTCAAAGAAAAGAACAAGATTCCTTGTTCAAGATTCCTAAAAAACAAGAGTCTTTCCTTCAAGAATGCCAAATGATCTGTTGTCAAGTACTAGCGCTATTACAATTATAATCATTTAACAATTAGCCAAACAAATAGAAATCTAATATAAGAGACTGTACGTCTTACAGAGGAACTCTCCAAATCAAACAATGCGATAACAATACTAACACAATACTACCTCCGTCTTGATTAACGTGACAAGTTTATTGCAAATGTAAAAACAAAACTCTCTCACACTGTGTCTAAGGAACAGGTCACGTGGCCTCTAGTCCATCAAAGGGATGAAAAACACACAGAGCGCCAAAGAATGCGAAGGCCGACAGCCCCCACACCCTAGGCCCACCCAACTCTAGCACTCAGGCATGAACACACCACTTTTTTCTCAAGGATAACTCTGCTGCTGGAGATATCTGTGTTTCTGAATAGAATACATTTTTATATTCCTTTGTTGTTTCTACAAACATGCTTGTAACAAAACTGTGTGTGGAGAAATCTATCTAGATAGAGATATAGCTTCTATACCCAGTGACAGGTAGATATCAATAGCTCAATCTTCTTATATACATGCCTGCTATATGATACTTACATGACATCTACTCTACTATTCTTATAACATGAATTAACAATTTCAGAAGACAGGTTGCATATGACCACTCTAATCTACCCACTTGTACACAGAAGATAAACACTAGAAACTCTGAAAGAATAACAATATGATATTAAAGACCTAATCTGAGATGTTCCAGATCCCTGAAATCAAAGCATGATGATGATCTAGCAGGCAATGTGGGATAGAGATTAATCTTAAATTAAATGACATTTCTTGGAGTACAGTTAATAAATAAGAAATTCTTGGTTTTCCTAACTCCTCTTTCTAAAGACAAACATTTATTAGGTTATTTACATGACGAAAAGCACAACCTTTGAGTATGAAGAGATCAAAGCTCACACAGAAAACTCGAAGGGAGCCCCTCCCTGGTGAGCACAGATGACTAAGAAGCGCACATGGCATATTTCTAATTCTCCACGCAGCCTGTTCCTTGATGGGTGAGAGAGAGCCCTTACATGCACAGTTCGTGGCTGTGAGGACACAGCTAGCTACTTAATGAAAGTTTTCTGTTAAAACACATCATGGCAAGGAAAATTATAATCACTATGCAGACAATGAAAATCAAAGTAAGCCTGTGAGGATGGGCTGTTTCTCAAGAAAGCCCAGGTCGGCTCCCACAGTGTCGAGAGGCCCAACACTCAACAGGTGACAGTCTCTCCTCCCAGTCAGCTTCAGGCTACCCCAGAGAATGGCTCCCTTAAAGCTTATGATGAAAAAAAGCCTTTCTATGTACTTTGGTGAATTAATTTGGTGGTGAAAAATCTAGGAATTTAAGTTACCAGAAGTTGTACTAGTTTTAAAATTTTTGAACAGTTCAGTTTATGATTATCCATATACTACTTCTTGAACAACTACTATGATACAAAATTATAATGATGTAAAATACAACACAAGATTTTAGGGAACACATTTTCAAAGACATGAAGGAAGAGAACATGGCAGAATTTTAAAATCCAGTCTGATAACATCAATGTGATTCTTAGATGGCATAAAAAAAGTCTCAAATGACTATGATTGAAATGAGTTTATCATTACTATTTTCAATTTATTACACAGGGGAAAAAATGAGGGATTAGAGTGAGAAGGAGGAAAGAGGGGGAAAGGAGGGAAAGAAGGAAAGATCTTGCCAGCAAAAAAGATATTTCTAACAGGGCACCAGGCTGACTACCTATGCACCCAAAAGAAATCTAATTATATATTTCCTTCAAGGTTTCAATTCAGTTGAAAATTTCTCTCTATGAAGCAACTGGGAACACTTGGAAAATAGCTGCTGCAAGGTCCCATCTGACCACGGGCACACTCATTCTTATTCTTTCCCAACCAAAGCCAGGGGAATGAATCAGATTTCCACGGATGGACTGATGAGAGTAGAGGAACAGGAGACACAGGATGCTCACAAGAACAGCCAGGACAGCGCCTCCGTCAGCTCTTCATCTGACCTGATGCAGTGCCCAGCTGTGTCTGAAAACATGCCTTCCTACTAATAAACTCAGAAAGATTAAAATTTGGGCATGGCAACAAATACTTAAGTACAGAAGGTGGAACACCTAGCAATAAATAGTGGCAACAAGATACCTTTGCCTTGTTCTAGTTAATGACACAAAACTAAAAACAACAAAGGAAACAAGAAACATAAAAAGAAACCTGTACCTTTGATGAAAGGAAGGACCAAACTACAAACCTGAATAATGAGCCATGAAAACAAGCTTCATGATACAACAGAGATGCACGCTGAGGACTTCACACTAAGTGAAAAAGCCAGTCAGGAAATGGCAACTGGTGTGTGGTGCCACGTATATCAGACACACAGAGAAGTCAAAGTCACAAAGACAGACTGTGGGATGGTGGTTGGCAGGAGCTGAGGTGAAGAAGGAAAAGGAAGCTGTTTTTCAGTGGGTAAGAATTTCAGTTTTACAAGATGAAGGAAAGAGTTAGGGGAGAGATGTGATGGTCGCACAACATCAGAAGGGCTAATATCTGATTGAATGGAAAATATATTTGGTGACAACTGGGAATATGGACCGGCTCTTGGTCACCTCTCCTACCTGGAATAGAACTGATTAAGGTAACCACATTGGGAGTGAGAGAAACTAACATGTTTAAAGTGTATTTTATAGGCAGGAAAAATGCACTGAGGCCTTACCATTATCTGGATTTGAGGTAAACTTGGAATTTCAAGTGCAGTTAAATACTTTCATTCTGCAAACTAGTTTCTCATTCAAGTGTAATTACATAAAATGAAAATATAAGCTGCTAACTTGTACCCAAGCATCTTGTGATTTTATAACTCTTATTAAGCCTCCTCCTTTTTTGCGGGTACTCATGTCTAGTGAGATGTGATGGGGAGGGTGCTGCAGGAAAATCCCAGATCTCTTCTTATTCTTCTACATTTGGGCACAAAGTAAACTTTGTTATTTTAACTGAACAAGGTGTACATGTGTTTACACTTAATTTTTCACTGTATCCTGTGAGAACTCGATAAATAAAAACCAGCAAAACATACAGAATAAATATATTGATTTAAAGGTGCAAAATAGGGATGTTCTAATGCAAAAGACATGTTAGAGAGAAATGTTATAAAATTGTATATATTTTCAGTAAAAGAAAAAAATATAAAACTTTTATAACTTGTTATTTTAAAAAGTCGTATTCAAATATATATCCATTGATTGATTTCATGACTTACATAATGATTTTCCTGGATACAACTTTGCCTGGGGGTAACCAGGGATCATTTTTTCATCTCTGGCTCTAAGATTTTCAAGTTCATGTTTGATAATGAACTGACATTCTGCCATTGTAAGGAAATCATCATTGTTGTCTAAAATAAAACAAAAAATTCCAGTTATTTTCTCAGCAATTGTCAAATAACTTTAATAATATTTAAATAACATGGGGTTATAGAAATAATGGTGTGGATGATAAGCAGTTAACTATAGGAGTAATCCAAGTATAAAATCAGTACTGACTTCATATTGTAAAATCTAATAGTAAGAAACATAGTAGTGGTATCCTAGAATGCTGACTTCCTGGTAAGGTAGCTGGTTTTGCTCTGGCCCAAAGGTGGTTCCAGAGGAGGACAGTTTCCGGCAAGAGCGAAAAAGCCAGGGCAGCTATTTTACCAGGGTGGGAATTTGGCTTTAGAATCAAGATAGTCCTTTTCAGGACTTTCTGAGTTACAAAATGTGATTACATTTCATCTAGATTTTATAGCTCAGTGAATAAATGATCAAAGGGAAATGTGCCCCATTTAAGAGAATTCACCTGTCCAAAAAGCAATATTCTCCCCCCTCATTTATAGAAAGGAAGCTTAACTCCAGAGGAGATGGCCTGGGTTTGAGAGTGTGAAGGAGGAGAATTCGTTATATAGGCAAACTTCAATTCTGTCTGTAGTTAAAAATACTGTTAAAGAGCATTTTACCTTCTGCTCTCTGGTAGCGAATTAATAAGTCAAGCAAGTGTCTGCTGTTTGGATATTTGTACCACGTTATATAATAACTACTGTAATGATTAAAGAATTGTATTATATAAAAGTATAACAGACTCTTTAATTCGCATAAGCTATCTAAAAAGTTTTATATCCTGCTTAACTTACATCAAAAACTTCTCCTTGATAAACTGATTCTGACAGAAACACAGAATCTCAGGACTTACCATCAAAACCTTTGAAGTTGTGCCGGGTCCTGTAGGTGAAGGCACGCATGGCCTTGTCATTGCACTCTTTCACCAACCCCAGTGCTTCTGCCCCGAGTAACAATCTAGTATTGGAGGCACCAATAAGATATAAGTTCTGATTTTCAAGTGTTTCCTTCTCATATTTATTTAACAGTGGCCTAAACAACAGCTGGGCACCTTCAAACAGAAAAGACAAGTACAATCTTAGAAAGAGACATACAGAAGTTTCAAAACTGAAAACCTTCTAAATAAATATGTTTTTAGAAAAGAAATCATATTACCTATTTCAATCCAGTTTCCAAGAAAGCAGGAAATACTGCTGACTCCTAGGCAATGCAGGGACACTGGATATCAAACCCCTCTTGCATAGCTGAATATCTGTGTATAACATTTGGCTCCCCCCAGAAGTTAACTACTATTAGCCTGCTGTTGACTGCCTGACCGATAAGAGAGTCAGTTAACACATATTTTGAGTACATATTATTACTGTATTTTTACAATAAAGTCAATTAGAGAAAAGAAATGTTACTGAGAAAATCATAAGAGAGAATATACATTTCCTATATATTAGTGGATCCACGCAGTTCAATCACTGTTGTCCATCAGTCAATCATATAAAAACAATTGGGGGTGGCAATCCTGATCAGCATTTTTAATAAATACCAAAAATGGGAAAATGTAATAAATAGCTTGACAGTTACTCAAATTATAAGTAGATATGATAAAAGAATTCAGTATTTTACGTTATGATTTAGGGGACAATACATCAAGAAAACATAACGCTCATCAACATATACTCACCAAATGAAGGAACACCAAAATAGATCAATTATTACCATCTCTGAAAACAGACATTAAAGAAAATACAGATATAGTAGGAGACATACCACTCTTACCAATGGACAGATCAATGAGACAAAAAATAAGGACACTAGAGCACTAAATAAGGACCCAGACCTCATAATTTAACAGATGTCTGTATGACTTTGCACTCAAAAAAATCCAAGTATACATTTTTCTCAAGTGCATACAGATCATTCTCCTGAATTGATCACACACTGGGACATAAGACAAATATCAACAGATACTAAGATCAAAATCAGACCAACTATCTTCAAACTAGAAATAAACCATGCAAAAAGATGAAGCTAGACTATTACCTAACACCATGCACAAAACCAACTCCAAATGGATAAAAGACCTGGACATAAGATCTTAAACCATAAAATAGACAGAAGAAAATAAAGGCAAAATATTACATGACATACATCTCAGTAACATCTTTATTTTTATTTTTTTTACATCATTCTTCATTAGTGCATTTAGTAACATCTTTAAAGACACATCCCCAAAGCAAAGAAAGTGAAGGAAAAGACGAACAGCTGGGACTACATAAAATTAAAAAGCTTCTGTACAGCAAAAGAGACATTAATCAAAACAAGGAGGCACCCAATTGACTGGGAAACATTTTTTGCACATAATTCTACTGATAAGGGACTGAACACAAAGTACATAGAGCTGACAAGAATCAACAAAAACAAAGTAAAAATCCAGTCAAAGGAATGGGCAGAAGAGCTAAAAGACATTACTTCAGAGAGGAAATGCAATCAAAACCACAATGAGAATAGCACATAGTAAAAAAAACAGGAAACAACACATGTTGGTAAGGATGTGGAGAAAAAGGAACTCTTCTGCACTGCTGGAGGAAATGCAAACTAGTACAACCACTATGGAAAGCTGTGTGGAGGTTCCTCAAACTACAAAAACTTGAGCTTATGACTCAGCAGTCCCACACCTAAGAATCTACCCAAAGGGCGCAAAAAACATTAACTCAAAAGAATATCTGCACCCCTATGTTTATTGCAGTACTATTTATAATAGGTAAGATATGAAACCACCCAAATACCCCAAAATAGGTAACTGGATTAAGAAGATGTGGAATGGAATACTATTCAGCAATCAAAAAGAAAAGGTAAACTCATGTCATTCACAGCAACATGATGGCGCTGGAAGGGATCATGCTCAGTGAAATAAGCCAAAAGGAGAAAGAAAAATATCGGATGGTTTCAATTATAGGAGGAATGTAGGGGAACCAAATAAAGGACCAGGAAAAAAAAACATAATTATGATAAATTAAAAAACAAAACTAATAGTTAACTATTAATCGGAGATTAATCGGAGTCTGCAGGGGAGGTGGGAGGCTCAAAACAGGGGAGGGAATGTGTTCTTACACAAGGGACTATGGTGATGGTGCACGGGTGAATTGGTAGTGTAGATTTTGCAGGGACAACACGTAAGAGGAGAAAGTATGCCTTGTATACAACGAATGATGTGAAGTATATATAAAATGAAATTTAAAATGAATAATTAAAAAAAAGAATTCAATATTTATTAGCTGTAGGTATAAAACTGAACTAAGTAAAAATAACAAAAGAATGCAGTTTCTTAATAGAAAAGAAACATTAAAATTAAAGGAAATTAATTCTATCGAACATAACTGTACTGGGTAAAAACACTGAGCTAGTGTCCAAGGTTCAGACAGAATCTCTGACTGCACAGAGAGAACCCATTCCAAAACCCATGCATCTGTCTCTCTGCAGAGTACTAAGCAGAGTTGTCTGCCAAGGTGGTAAAACACACAAGGAATCAAGAAATCAAACTGTTATTTTAAATAGATTTCAGTCATTCTTTTTCTTTTATCTTGGCACCAATTTTATTTACACTCTATGTGCACTCATTTCACTGACATCTGAGTCTTGGGAATATTCTGCAGTGTAAACCAAACTCATCTCAACAGTCTACACAGCCAGCTTCACCTTCCACTTCCTCAAGTCTGAGAAGCAAATTACTACTCATCCTCCTGCTTTCCAGATTCCCAAATGGTGCTGCTACTATAACTTTTCCTCTCTTCTATGTCCAATGTGTACTTATAACTTTTTGGAGGAAAATAAAAAACCTTTCATTACATTTAAATAGGAATTTGGAAAAGAGGAAAAGCAAATATGAGTGTTAAATATACTGCCTTTACCTGAAAACTCCAAATACTTTTTGGAAACTTCCTTTACGATTGTCCCAGCAGAATAGGGAGAGCCCATGCCTCCTCACCCTTCTGTGTCCCTCCAAAATCACACAATGAGCAGAGGAGGAGACTGGAGTACACTGCAGTCCCTCACTCTAAGACACTACAAATGTTCTTAGATCTCAGGAAGCTTGGAGGGACCCTGGACCTGTGAAACATCTCAGATTTTAGCAAGCAGGTAGGTACCCTTGTTTATAAATTTTCTTTGATCAATTTTTTGGAAAACAAACATTAAAACTTGCACTTTGAAGTTTCATTTTCAAGAAAGCACAGTAACAATCTTTTTTAAAAAGCCTAAGTTTGGTCCAGTGTTAGTAAAGTCTTAGGTGCTGTTTTATATAATTTCATGGGGTATTTTCTCAGGTAAAAAGCTCTTCACCCTCGGGCCCTCCCTAGTGGCGCAGCGGGTTAAAGCACAGCACTGAGAATCTAAAGCCACTTCCGCATGAGTTCGATCCCCGCCTGCCCCGGAGGTGACCACCCCATCTGCCCCGGAGGTGACCACACAGCATGGCTAGACCTCTCCTGACCCGCCCACTGCTCCCCTCAGCAGTGTACTTCGTCGATCTGCCTGTTCTGCTCCCCCCTCTGTCTCTGGTGAAGCCTCTCACCCTCCGCATCTCTGGCCTGTACCCCAGTTCTGTATGAATAAATAAATAAATCTTTAAAAAAAAAAAAAAAAAAAAGCTCTTCACCCTCTCACCAGGTTTGACCTCATTTCTCCTTTTGGGAAAGGTCTAAACTTCGGTTTCTCCTATAAAGTCATCTCTAACCACCCCAAAAAGCATCACCTAAGCATCACCTCTTTCTCCCCTTTGCTTTTACAGCACAGTACACATACACTTCCCTTTTAGGTACCATGCACTGCTACTTGTTAGCTACTTTGGTTACTTCAAATTCTAGGCAGTAACACTAAGTCTCACCCTATCACCTGCAAGAAAAATCTTTGCAAGAACAGACTGGATTTATCTCTCTCTCCCCCAGCACCATAACTGACATACAAAGAACACTCAATAGATACTTGCTCATTCGTGGGACAAATATTTATCAGGCACCTACTGCACATGAGGAACTGTGATAGGTTGTGAACAAAATCACTCCGTTTTGATTACACTCTAATAGAAATGTACAGTCTAATACTGATTTAAGATTTCTTTCGAGTTTTAGGTAAAGGGACATTAATTTAAAAACTATATCAGCAAAAAAAAGGTAAAACACATTTGAAAATAAATTTTTAGTCACTGAGTACCATGAAGTCTGAATGATATTTATTGTGCTCACCTCCATCTTTCTTTTTAGTGATAATTCTGTTTTTCAGCCATTCTTTGGTTTCTTCTTTGACATCCTGAGCAAGTTCTATGACTACCAGAGGTGTGAAAGAAGTCTCGGAAGTATCCAAAGCTGATAAGGTCACTTTCATCTTTGATAAATTTGCTAAAAATTCAAAGAAAGTTAAAAAAAAATAAATAATGGTTGGCATGGAAAAGGGAAAATTAGGGCCAGGCCAGTCATTCTCAACGGGACAATTTTACACTTTAAACTCACTCAGCCTCGCTTTTTACTTTATATGAGTATTAATGACTACAAAGCATGAGTGCAAATCAATTCTGGGAGACAATCACTAAAGGAATGGCCAATACCACAGAACGTCTTCCCTTCCTTTGGGGGAGTCACAATCTTGCAGCATGCTGAGCAAACAGATCCAGATTGTCTGACTTGGACTGATCAATTGGCTTTTGCTTTTCTCCAGCAGTATGTAAGTTTTGTTTGGACAAAACAGGTACTATAAATCAATGCCACATTCAAATTATACTACAGAAACAGCAACGCTATTTAAAATACCAGCCAATGCTTATTTCTTTTCAGATCACATCTTTGTTTTTTACTAGACAAAAGAGAAAGACATATCAATCAAATAAAAAGTCAGGATGCTAGACTCTAAAGGAAATCAAAATAAGAACTAGTACTCATTACCAAATAGCTAATAGAGTGGTCTGAAAGAATGCTAACAGATATCAATCAGCAATTTAGGGACACCAAACTCTTACTCTGAAAAAGTTTTGGAACAAATATGTTCTGCACAGGGAAATAACCTGTGTAAAATCAATCAATAAATAAAACAAGACTAAAGACAGCATGGGGAAGAATATAAAACTGACCAGACCAGAGTAGAGGAGCAGCATTTTGTAATGTGACCATTTAGAGAAATGCGACCGTTTACATCTGACTTAGTGGTCAGTAATGAGACACTGTGAGTTTCTGAGCAGAGAATTAGCTCCATGTCCATGACAGGAATGTCAATAGATAAATTTAGGAAGCAAGAATATGGGCATTCTTCCTGGTATTTATTCAACTCCCACTGAACTTCTGAAATTTTTTCATAACAAAAAATGTTAGTTTACCAGTATAATATAGAGGTTTAGCATCATTATCTTCTAAATAGAAATAGCAAATAGCAAACATTTATTATGAGCTTATACTGAGCTGGCAACCTGAAAAAAGGTTTTAGTGCTACATTCATAGCAGCTTTATTCACAACAGACAAATAGTGGACCCAACCTAAATGTCCATGACAGATGACTGGATAAATAAATTGTGGAATATGCACTCAATGGGATACTACTCAGCTATTAGAAAGATGAAATAGTGCCTTTTGGGGTAACATGGGTGGGCTTGAGGTGGCTATGCTAAGTGAAATGTGCCAGAATGGTTTCACTCACCTGTGGAATATAAATAATCAAAAGGAAAAAACATAGCAAAACACATCAAAATAATTCTTAGATTGTGAAAAATATTCCAGTTGGAGGGAGGAGGTAGGAGAAGATACCTGGGATGTTGCTAAGAGTTTGGATGGAGGGTGAGTTATGCATATGTACACGTGGAGGTGTGAAGTTGTACTCCCAAAATTGTTATATAAATGACTGGCAAAAAATTAAAATCCAAGGAAAGGAATATGTACAATTAAAAATAAAGTTTTAAAAAGTGTTTAAGGAGACTTTTAATGATTCATGAAATTCCTAAGTGGGTAAAAAAAATAAACAACAAAATACAAAGTAATAAACAACATGCCCCAAATTTTTATTGTGGGTATATTTGAATATGCACTCACAAAAAACCTCAGAGAATTACGAATAGTACCAAAATGCCGATAGGGTTCATGGAATTGTATAAGATTATGAAATAATGTCCATGTTTTTTTTCTGAAGCACCCATATTTTCTACCAAAAAAAAAAAAAATGAACACACTCCAGTATACAGTATACTATAGTCTTTCCTATTATTTTAGGTTTTTCAAATCTCATCCTTCTTCTAAGATTCTGTCAGTGATGGCTGGTCAGAATATGGCCCACTTCCCAGTTAATTAAACACTGCTTATCATATTCACAGAATGGGTCCTTAAAAGAAAAGCTTGTCCTCTTTTCTAGATTAGTGTGACATAGTTTGATAACACATAATAAATATTTTAGTTTTGTGAAAACTCACAGGACTCTTTAAAAACTCCGCAATACTTAAGGGAAGGTGATACAACTGTTTTGAGTTTGAATAAACATCAGCTGTACTTCTCAAGTCCGGGACCACCATAAAGTGTCTTAGCTCCTGCAACAGAGTTGTGCAGAAGAAAGCGACACCAAAGCTGGGACTGAGAAGGCACCAGAAAAATCAGAAGTAACCTATGGGAGGGCAACCACAATCCTTCCACATTTCTCAGGAGTCCTCAGTACTGTCCCAGACCTGCGTCTATTATTTAAACTGTGCGATGTGTCCCAGTCAAAAGCCTTGAAGCCCAGTCACTCCGAGGGAGAGCAGCACCCTGCGGGCTTGCTCAAGCCACACGGATTTTACTCTCCCAACTACCGGCCAGCATGAATCATCACGGGCCCCTGGAAGCTGGTCCTCTCCTGCTCTCCATGCTTCACCAACTCCTCCACCCCCACTCACGAACTCCCTCCCTGCAGCTCTGACACCCCACCAAACCCTCCAAACCCCAGATTTCGGCCTCACCGCGTTTCCTTTTACTCAACCCTCTACCTCCAGATCCCATAGTCCTTACCAAATCTCACTCTCCTCGACCCCCTCTGCAACTGCCACTCCCCGCAACACCTTTTCCCTCAAGCACAGTTCCCGGGCGCTCGCCCCCGGGGTGGCGCTTCCCCATTCCCGGACCGCGGGCAGCGGGAGGTATCCCGGGAAGAAGGGCGGCGGTAGGGAGGAGCAGCCCCGGCCACGTCCAGCCGCCGCCGCCAGCCCGGCTCGGCCGCCCGCTCCGCCTGGGGCTCTGTGCCACCGAGAGCGGGGGTCCAAAGTTCCCTCCCCCACTCACCGGCCGCTGCAGCGCTCCACGTCTTCCGGGGCGGGCCTGAGACCGGGGACCCGAGGCCAAGCCGGTGGACGCTCCCGAGGGGCCGGTCCCGGGCCTGCGGGGCGTGGCGGGCGTGGCGGGGCCTGGAAGTGACAGCACGCGGGCCGGGGCGTGACGGCGGCGGGGGAGGCGGGGCCTATCCGGAGGCGTAACCCCAGGGAGGGGCGGAGCCTGGGCCAGTGTGCACCGGGCGGGGACAGGCGCGGACAGGGAGAAAGGAGGGGTGGGTCCCGCGGTGCCGTAGCCTAGAGTGAGAGGGCGGCCTGGAAAGGGAGAGGCGTGCCCCGTGGACTGTCACTCAAGGGAGGGCGGGACCACCGAGGGGGAGGCGGGGCCAGGTTGGGCTGTCAGTTCAGGTTGGGGCGGGACCATGGTGGGAGAGGCGGGACCTCGTTTGGCTGTCAATCCGAGGTGGGCGGGATCACAGTGGGAAAGGTGGGACCTCACTGGCCGGTTGAGTGCACTTGGGGTCTGAGATAGGGCAAGGGAAGGAATATGTCCTTTCATGGTTCCTTGATCCATTTCTTAAAGTCCAGAACCCAATTTCCTGGTCACTTTCAAATATAAAAGCATCTCATTTTATTGTAACTCACTCTCAGTAGTGGAAAATCCAAATCAATTTATTATTCAAATCTCACATTCAAGATACAGGCCAAAATCCTTCCTGGGATCTGTAGGTCTCCAATCCTGTCTCCTTTGTCTCTAAAATCTTTTACTTTCCCCTTTTATCTTTCCTGCCACTCTGGTTTCATTGCCCTTGCTAGAAATCACCAGACACTTTGCCACCTCCGACCTCAGCAAGTTCTTGGCCCTGACTGTTCCCACTGCCTAAAATGAAGGAGATGGGGTTAGTTTTTCATCTTTCTAAAGAGATCCCAATCCTCCTTCTCACTAAAACCTTTCCTGACCATCCTTTAATACCTGCTCTCCTCCCCTACCCTACCATCTCCCTATTTCCTGTTTCCACAACACTCATCACCATCTAGTGTTTTATCTTACATTTATTGTCAGTCTGCCCACAGAATGTAAGCTTCACAAGGGTAGAGATTTTTGTCAGTTTTGCCCACTGATACATCCCCAATGTCTAGGCCCTACTGACGAAGATCAGAATGAGCAGTAACCTTGGTGGAATAAAAGAATAAATGAAGCCTTTGTCCCTCCACACATCCAGCTTTGCCAGAGATGGTTGGCCTCAGAGTCCTCCAAGAATGCCACACTAGGGAAGCTCTGTCTGCTCTTTTCACTGAACCACTTCTCTGGGTCTTCCAAGTTTAAGACAAGAAGGCAAGGAGGCTAGGTGAAAGAAAGGTTAAGAAGCCTAACTACTATATGGTGGTTTTTCCTTCTTTCCAGACCCTCAGTTTTCAGTCATGGCAGTCCACGGCCTTATTGGCCTGTTCTCATGTGGTTATCTTTTAGTAAGACCTGCAACGGTATGTTCCAGAAGCTCTTCCTCTTCAGAAAGTGGGGACAAGTAACTTATAAACCTCAATAGGTTTTAAGATGAATTACACATTAGGATTTTAATTTGTTACTTTTGTATTAAGTATGAAAAGTTAGTTATTGGATAACACAATGCAGACCTGAGTTAATGATTTGGGTTCCTTCAACGTTTACCTATATCTACATAACAAGCCACTACACAGAATTATTACAGAACCTCCCCCTACAAAAAAATGTGTGGGTCTGGGGATCCTCTAGGAGAATGAATTCACCAAAGATTTCAGGTGAACCAGGCAAGGGTTTATTAGAGACTCCGTACAGGGGAACCAGCGCTGGTAAGGAGTATTTTAGCCTGCTTCCCTGAAGAGAGTCAGAAGAGAATTGTTAAAGAGGCAGGTCCACCTGGCTGGGTGGCGGAGAGCAGGAGCACCATAGTTGTGCTGGGCTGGGCTACCACTTGGCTGGTGTGGACTCATTACATTCCAGCTGCCCATGTCTGACTCCCAGCCCTTCCCCTCCAGGAAACTGTAAGGCAGGTATTAACCAGGATTTAATGCTTTTTATCTAGCATGCTAACTTTGGTCAGGATGGAGGACCACAATGCTTGAATAGGACAAAAAGAAAAAAAAAAAAAAAGAACCTAGACCGTTACCGTTAGGGAAATCCAGACAAGATCCAAGTTAGCTGTTCTAAACTGGGCACTAGGTGTTCCAGTCTGTGATCCAATTTCCTTGTTTAAATGGCAACTCACACCTTAACTAGCTAGGGATTTCTTTTACGTAGACTGTGTCAGAATTAGGAATTCCCTTCTCTACATTGCTCCTGTTGAGATTTCCTTCATATACTCTGACTCCTGTGACTCTTTTTCCAGAAATGTAGGGTTCTCTAGGCATTTCCTATATTTTCTGTCTAGTGAGAGAAAAAAAGTAGTTTTTTATAACTGGGCACTAGGGAGTAGTAACAGAGATTCTTTTCATACTTGGCATAACAAAAAATCCCTTTTCCTATTTCCTGTGTCCCAAGGAACAGGATTTCTCTCCTGGGCTTAGTTATCGCTGCCACAGTATTAAAGCAATGCAACTGTAGGACTGTAGGGGCCTCAAAATGAGAGTGACAGAAAGGACAACCAGGCGTTCTCACCACTTTCTCCAGCTTGCTGCAGTCCTTTCTCTTGCAGACTGTTCCAATTCCCCTTGCCCCAGCTCAAAGCAAGGAAGTGAAGGGGGTTAGAGGGTGGGGGAGGGGGGGGGACTTTCACCACTCTCACATCCTGGACATAGAAATACTTTATGTAATAGCAAAAGTGGACCTTTTCTTAGATATGAATGCCAATCTTTTCTCAGTTTATTATGACTTGACTTACGCTGCTTGGTTGATTTGAATGTTTATTGTGGGTTTTAGTCCTACAGAACTTACCCACTTCTAAATGGTCGTTTTTATCAAGTTTTTCTTTTCCTACTTAGTACTGCGAAGTTGTATCACCCTTAGGAAGGCCTTCACTTCTCTTTGAAGATCTTGCTTCTTCTTATGTTTCAAGATTTACAGTTCTCCTTTTAAGATTTGACCTATCAGGGTTTTGTTTGTTTGTTCGTTTGCTTGTTTTTGATGTACGTTAAGTGGAATGGACCCAACTTTGGATCATGGTAGCTAGATAGTTACCCTATGTTCTTTGCTGTATAACCTGTCTGAGCTTAAATCTCACCATTATCATAGATTGAATTTAATTCTGATGTTTGAATTTTAACTTTACATCTTTTTCTTTCTTCAAACTCTTTTGTACAGTCAGAAAGGACAACTCACCTCGACTTCTTGGATACCTCACTCCCATCACGACTGGGTAATAAAAAGACTGCTGAAGACTCATTTTTCAGTAAACTGTTCCAGGTGATCGTGTACAGAAATTTTTTCACTTCATGTCCTAGATTCATAGTATCCTTTTACCAGAATGACGAGGTCTCCATTGCCTCCACGCCTAGACGAGTGAGCTCCAGTCCCAGATTGTCATCTGAGGGGCCTGGTTTCTATAGCCACTACTGACACCCAATGTGCTGGACAAGGCTGGGACCACCGCCACTGTCAAAAGCTGAGGAATGAGTATTAATCTGTAAGCCTGGATTTCAGGGTTGAATCAAGAAGCTGCCACAATCACTACCACTTCTTGAGACTCCAAAACCGTGAGGCTAAAGGTTGCAATTTGCTGCAAAAAATCTACAACCTTCCTATCCAGAGAGGATGCCAGGAGTCACAATAAGTTTCCTACTTTTCACCTACCAGATTTCAAGTGAGTGCATCAACTCACTAGCTGATAGTGTTCTTCCCCTTCCAGTCCCTATACTGAACACATCTTCACACAAATCTTGTCCATTTGTTTTGAATATTTTTGCCTTTCTTATTGCCAGCATGAATAAGAACTTTTCTTCCATTTTATTTGGTCGTTGCTGGTTATACAAACATCAATTTCTTTATGTCAATTTTATGCTTGAAAGAAAATCTCTTATAGTAGTAAGATTCCCTTCCAATTTCTAAGTTTACATACAATTATCAAAAATAGGGGAAAAAAGAACTTAAAAATTATTGCTGTACAGAGCAAATGCAGATGTTGAAAAGTTTCATATGAGAATAAAATACAAAATAAAACATTTCCAAGGTTATACTTACATAATCTGGTAGTATGTATGACACACCCCCACCCCTTTCTTTTTTTGCTTCTGATACTAAGGAAATGCTTCTGGTGTTTACTCAGCAAATACGAGTTTTATTTTAGGTTTGAGATAAATATATTTTATCAATAAGTAAAAATCTACTAGTTCTTATTTTATTATTCAATAACTCTTGCTACATTTTTTTACTTACCAAGAATAAACACTGAATTTTGTTATATGCCTTAACCATGTCTCCCATGGAGATATTCATGTGTTGTTGTTTTTTTCTTAGCAATAGATAAAATGATGAGAAGCAGTTTGACTTTAGAAATATTAGGAATTGATGATCTATTTGATGCAATATAAAAGAGGAAACGGGGAGTTAAATATGGTATTTTCACTAACTGGGCTAGAGAAGACCATGGGAAGAGAAGACTTACAGGAGATTCAGGAATGTTTGGGGCACGTTGAGTTTGAGATGCCTTTTGAAAATCCCAGATGGAATATTGGTCCCTGTGACTCAGAAGAATAGTTACAGCTAAAAGTATGAGTTTGCAAGTTATCAGCGCAGAGATGATATTTGCAGCTGCAAGACTAGATGGGGTGAACAGAGGTGTAGGCCCATGAGAGAAGACAAGAGAATCAAGGAGCCTCAGTCCTCCAATAGTATGGGGATGAGATGAGAAAACAGCAGTGGAGCCTGGGAAGGACTGGCCGGTGATATTGGGAGTATACCCAGTGGTGGCAGAGGGGGCAGAGGGGTGTCTCAGAAGCAACTGAAGATCTTGAATTAAGGAGGAGCTGTGCTGTGTGTGCTGATATGTCAAGTGAGATGAGAACTGAAATCATAAAGTGATATGACAGCGTTACGTCAAACATTTGCTCTATAAATTATTGTAAATGTGCCTAAATCACTTGTGAATAAACAAAGATGTTCAAACTGGATGAAGTGAAATTCAGTTCTGTATGCTATGTAAAAGACACACCTAAGACAAATGAATTCTAAAGTTTTAAACTAAAA